GAGAGAGAGAGAGAGATCTTGTCTGTGTTTGAGAGCTGTAACATGACATCTTTTCTCGAACCCGAAGCTGAGAATCTTCCGTTATGCTACAATCAGCCACAGAAATGATCACTTGTAAAAAAGCATAAAAAATTATAATTTACCTTCGAGCAGAGATTATAAAATTAATAAGCGGTACACAAAATATGCATTCTGTTTTTATCTCACCTGAAGTCCCAGAAGTGAATTTGTTTGAATCTGTTTCTGGCTGTGGTCTCAGATGTCTCGATGATAACTGATCGATAGATCTCGAGAAACTTTATTTTTGTCCAGTTGTCACCTTTTTTCTCAGAAGTATTAATATGTTTATACGTTTATTATACGTTTAATTAATACTATATATTCTATATTGATAATACAGTATCTATCTATCCATCCATTCATAATTATATTTACCCATCCATCCACTCTCACCAACACTCACCCCCCTCCCCACCATACTTACACTTTTTTTTCTTTTTAATCTAACATCAACGGTGATCTTGACGACTTAACAAACTAACTTCTAACTTAACCATTTCTATAATTATACTGGGTGATCCAAAAAACAACAACAACTGTACAATTTTTTCTCTAAATATCTCGCACAAAATTTGTACTAGAATGTTGTAATTAGGAATAAATATAATTCATTCGAAAGGAATTTGTTTGGCATCAAATTCACAAAGAAGAAGCTTATTTTTGAAAACGGAAATGGATTTTATTAAAAACACCTAAAAATGCAAAATATACCAATTTAAAAGATCGTGTTAGAAAAGTCATGAAATGATTGATTTGATTTTTTTTCTTTCCTTTTATTTCAAAAATTTAAATTTTCCATCCCTGTAACGTGTAAACAATATTTCTTTTCTCCTACAGAGTTTAAAAATATTTTTTAAAGTTCTGGAATTCCGAGAAACAATGGTCTCTATGTCCTCCTTAGGACTCGACACATTTTGACGCGTCGTTCGTTATGTTCAAAGTGGCCAAACACAAGGGTCCACTCAACCATGAGTACCCAAAGCCACATACCATGTACACCTTACAGCATGGAGCTGTTTCTAGAGACAATAGGGGGAGGGCTGAGGTTGCCGAAATAGACAGCATTTGTTGAGTTGATATAACCTGAAAGATGAATGTGGGCTTTGCCAAGGAACCAAAATGTCATAGAGGAAATGCCCACGCTTTTCGAGACGATCGAGGAATCATGAACGCTTTGTTATGCTCTGATACTTTCGCGAACGGGAAAATGGTACAGTCGTAGATGAAGATCTGCCCTGAGAATGCGGACAGTTGAGATGTTGAAAAGTCATTGCTGCATTGTTTATAAGGAAAGGTGTCTCATGGGGCTCATCTACTGAATTCTGTACCCTGGTGACGTTTAATGGGGTGCGAACGGTGTGTGTTTGGCCTGAAATGGTTGTTTTGTCTGGGAATTTTTAGTTCTGATTTTTTTATAGGTACTAACTGAGGAACCATTTCCGCCCTTGACATCGAAGAAGGCCGTAGGGGCACATTAACATTATTTTTGTACCTTGTGCGAAACTCACGAAATGAGTTGGTGGTGAGGAAATGTTCAATACAAAAAGTTCTCTGCTCTTTACTAATCTTAACCATGATCAAAGTAGGCAAATAAAACTTGAGAAAAACTATCTGCAAACTTCGGCTGGTCTGTTAGACTACTGTAGTATGCAATATGGCTAAATCGTTGGGATTGTAAGTAGTATGCCTAATGTGAACTAAAGCACCATGCTTCAAAATGGGGACATAGCTGAAAATGGGTTGTACTTTATGCGCTAGTTCAGTGTTGAGGGTAATATTTTTTAGAAAGTTGTACAGTTTTTTGTGTGATCACTCTGTATATTTCCTTATAATTCTTACACGGCTGTCTCACAGGCCTCCATTTTGTCATGTCCTTAAAAATTAACACCCACCCCCTACACAATATCAGTTTCACAACTTGTCTTGCACGTTTTGATTTCCGTTTTCACCTGTCTCACTGGCACAGTTTATTAATAATATTATTATTATATATATCATGTCTTGTGCTCTCTTCCTAGACTCTGAGGGTAAGTTCAAAACCAGACGTTTCGGTGATGGGTCTAGATTGCTTGTATGATCATGCTAGATCCAGACCAAATGCTTTGGGTTTTTTATGATGATGTCAGTGTTTAAACTGATTTTTAAAATTATATCGATGCATTCTTTCTTCTGCACCCCTGCACTGTTCATTTAGAGTTTATATGGGGATTTAGGGAGATTAGGGCTTCAAACTTACTTACTACTATAATTTTGTTCCTTTACATCTTCTCTGGATGTATTGGTCATCTCCAGACACTGACGGACGAACTATTTTAATAATA